AATTGCTCGTGTGTACAGAGTATGTGTGAGTTCTTTCACTTTATTTTCATGAGAAAGACTTCAGCAACAGAAATAAAATGGAAATCCCTGCAGCAGCGACCGGTGGCGGCTCCATGATGGCGACATGTTTATGCCTTCTCCGTTTGCGTTTATGATGTAAAATTAAACGTGTAGAGACCGCTGTATTAATGCTCTCCCGGCGTGCGTCATCCCCATACACAAGCATATCATTGTTTTCTCTCAAGTATCGTTTTTGGCTCTGGCTGCCGGTTTACTCTGTTTACAATGGCCCTCACGAGTTCTGATGTAATCCGTGTCTTAAAACGCGACTCCAGCAACACCTCGTTATCCTGAGGTAGCCCCGCTGTTGCCTTTGCCCCCTTCAACCTCTCCAGGTGCCCATTTTTTAGGGACCACCCCCTCGCCCCGGCCGCGCACAGCTCATATCTGGTGTGTATTACATGGAGCAAGTGCAAATTAGGTTAGGCTGAAGTATCCACAGTTGGTCTCTGGCCACTGCTTGTTTAAAGAAAACAGTTACGCGGCTGTTATTATCAGGGGTAGGATTAGAGCGGGATTTGGCCGGCCGTAAATACATCACAGCTTCATTACACACGGACAGCGAAATGGGAGGGGGAAAACACACACACACATGAGAAGGGGATTTCGGAGGTCCGGGGGTTTGGGGGTCGGACTGCGGATGGAAGTCTGAGATGTAAGGCCCTCTTCGTTCGAATGGGAGCAATCAGCAAAACCCAGAGACGGCAAATTCTTTACAGACTAGTGGGCTCATTTGAAGCTTGGTTTTGTATTATGCGTATCGTAAGCTAAGGGTATAATTCTGAACACTGATTCTGATAATAGAAACGGATGAAAAGGGACAGGCCTAGCTACACATGCAGTGGGAACCATCTATTCAATGGCCTGGTGTCTGAGCATGATCCTCAGGGAGATAAGCCGTAGGTTGATATCCTGACTGGAACAGGGTGTTTTTGAATGTAAAAAGTAAATTCTGTTACTTCACGCTTAAGTCTCAGAAGGTTAGGGTTATTTTAATGAGACAAAAGTGTAGTGCTTGGTCACCACATGTTTGGGTGGCAGACTTTCGCCTTTGTCAGAGGAGACATGAGATGGTGTGACGTGTCTTGCATCAGCTGTTGTTGCCAGATGTGGTCGCTCTGACAGATCGGGCAGATTCGTCGACTGATTTCTGTCTGAACCCAGCTTACATTCCCAGTGAACAATCCAACACTCTTCCTCAAAATGATAAGAACAACTGACCACGAAGAATACAAAAATCTTCCACCTTGGCTCACACTTCAAGTAATTAAGCAGTACTAGCTTATTTAACTTTTGTCCTAAACCTTCACCAGCTTCGGTCAGCGCTAAGAGCATCAACATCTGGAGACAGGTCCATGGGTGACCTCTGCTCCTGACCCCAGCTATTTAGTCAAATCTCTAATTCAGTGGTATAACTCTGAATTGTGTTTTGTTTTTTGTTTTTTTTGCTTCTCATGTGCCGCATGTGATATATGTGATACATGTGATCATATAACCGCCATTTCAACATGGAAGTTACCTTTATTCAAATATATGTTCAGCTCGGTGATTAATTCAGAGGACTACCCTGCGGTTTCTCTCTGGTCTCTCTCTCTCTCTCTGGTGTCTCTGTGGTGTCTCTCTCCAGTTTCGCTTTCTGGTATCTCTTTCTGGTCTGTATCTCTCCAGTCTCTCTTTCTCTGGTCTCTTTGGTCTTTCTGGTCTCTTTCTGGTCTCTCTCTGTAGTCTCTCTCTCTGGTCTTCCTGCTCTCTCTTTCTGGGCTCTCTCTCTATTTGGTCTCTCGCTCTGGGGTCTCTCTGGTCTCTCGCTGGTCTCTCTCTGGTTTCTCTCTCTATCTGGACTCTTGCTCTGCTGGTCTCTCTCTGGTCAGTGAGGTTCTAGTCTCTCTACTACTTACATTGCATATTTTGTGTGCTTCTTGTGTGTTCTTACCATCTTATTTATCACAGAGGCTACTTTCATGACTTCTGCTGCATGTTATTTGTTTTTGGACGTCACTTCTCTGTCAACTTAAACTACTTCAGACTCAGCAAATCCCTGTAAACTCACCGCTGCTTATGGACCTCATCTCTGAAGGGCTTCAAAGCTAATTCTCCCAGTGCGCTTGCCGTCCGCCCTGGGTGTAAGCCGAGCCCCCGCCGTCCCGTGATGAGCCATAAACGCCCCAAATCAAGACTCCACTTTGGCCTGGATGGTCCCGGCCCCTCTGCCCCCTACCCTGCTCTTGTTTAACGCTCTGGGAGGCCGCTAATGACATGCTCTCAAATGGGAAGGCTTTTGAGAACTCGCCGTGCTCCTATTGCTCCTATCAACCCCCCTCCGAGAAGCAAAATGGGAGAATTAGCTAAAGCCCATATGACAGGATAGCATATTCATTTCACTAAAACACAAGAAGAATGGATGTAGCGTGGCCCTGGTTTATCGTGGGGGTTACGTTCTAGAAATAACCCGCAGTAAGTGAAATGTGTGAAGTAGCAGCTGTATGTTTTAAGGCTGTAGAACCTCTCACTCACACTTTATACACTTTTCTAACCAGCTGAACTCACGACTGCTAAAGTGAGAGAGAGCAGAGATATCATACCTGTTGGTTGTAGGGGTGAGCGCTGCTGCAGCTGTCAGAAGCCGTGCATACATTGTAAAATACAGCTGCGGAGGATGCGGAGGGGTAGGAGCAGGACTGAGGGCTACGGGAAGACCAGAGAGAATGCAGAGAGAGAGCAGCGAGAGACCAGAGAGAGGTACCAGAGAAAGAGACCAGAGAGGGACCAGAGAAAGAGACCAGAGAGAGACTAGAAAGAGAGACCAGAGAGAGGCCAGAGAAAAATAGAAAGAAACCAGAAAGAAAGACAAGAAAGAGAGACAAGAGAGAGACCAGAGAGAGACCAGAGAAAGAGACCAGAGAGAGACCAGAGAGAGAGACCAGAAAGAGAGACCAGAGGGAGGCCAGAGAAAAAGATCAGAGAGGGGTCAGAAAGAAAGACAAGAGAGAGACCAGAGAGTGAAACTGCAGTATTGCAGTATTTGCAATTTACAGATGAGATGAGATGTCAGGCTCGGCAATTCTCGTTGTACAGTCTGACAGCAGCAGGGTTACAGTAATGAACACATTAAACATTTGTACACGACTGTACAATCGTTTTCTTTAAGAGTGCATGTAAACATGTTTATAAGGTTCCACGATGGATTATGCAGCTCACATAAAACAAATCATTTTTCCTTTTCCTGAGATGTGTTTTTTGCTCCAAGGTTAATGAAAGTTTGGCTAACGGTGGAAACAGAAGCCTCGTAAAGCTGCATTTTTTAAATATAGATTTTCAGCATAAGGAGGAGATTAAACTACACATAAAAAAGCAACACACAAAGCAACTGTTTACTTGTGTGCTGTTGTGTACAAATATGTGTTTTAATATAATAAAAGCCCATGACGCCATCTTGTTAGAGTGATGTATGGACGACGGTAAAGATTGTCTGAAGCCTTTAATATAAGGCCAGGTAAGGCAGGTTTGCTTGTATAGCACAGTTCATATACACAAGGCAACACAAAGTGCTTAACAAAACAATATAGAATCAGAATGAGACTTATTTGTATTGGCATTGTGAGTAACAGGAAGTCACAAACTAGGAAAAGGCTTTGGCTCTCGTTGCAAGCAAGTTTTACATTTAAAAATCGAATGAGCCATGCATAAAAAGAATTAAGAAATCAATAAAGGGTATTAAAGAATAAATAAAACAACTAAAAACTAATACCTACATCTAGTCTTGTCATTATTGTATATATTGTTCATTCCAAATATCAACATAGAGAAATAATGCATAAATATAAACAAGAGTGCACACATGTGGTTTCTTCAAATACTCACACCATAGATAAAGTTAGCAATCAGTAGATTTTTTTTAAGCGCAAAAATCAACACATATTCTATCAACATAGTAAATGAGCTAGACGAGTCAAAAAGTGCTAGATCGAGTTGGAGCAAAACTTAATGATAATAATAATAATAATAATGCATCGGTATTATATATTGCTTTTTTAAACTCTCAAAGATGCTTTACATGTCATTGTTCTTTCAGTCCATACACGGTAGCCACAGCTGCCCTGGGACACACTGACAGAAGCAAGGCAACCAAAATCAACTATTCACACACACCAGACTCATTCTAGGCAATGTGGACAAACCGCTCCACAGTGACACCTGGTGTTCCCAGAGGTCTCCCATCACAGTACTAACCAGGCCCTGCCCTGCTTCATACATGAGCACTTCCCCGTTGGGCCTGATCGAGCTACAAGGTTAGCATTGTCCATCTACTGTATATCCAGTTTGTGCATATGTCCGCTTCAACCCTTTAATTCACTGTAAAAAGACAAGAAAATAAAAAAATCTGAATGGGTTGATTGGCCTGACAACTTAGATTCCCCATCATACATCATTGCCTGCGACTTGCATTAAAACCACATTTCGAACAACTCAAAAATACATGTTACCAAAACAAGCTGTGTGAGAAGCCTTCCTCTCTGACGGCTGTTACCACTGGCACACCATCTGTCATCGGCAAACCTCTACGGGGCCAATATAGAGGCATTTACAGCGGAGAACCAGCCACGCTAATAACACTGTAATATTACACTTATGCGCTGTATTTCTCTCTCTCTCTCTCTTTCACAAAGTGCATGTGTCGTGTCGAGCTGCCTCCTACAAATATAGATTGAGAATATTGCGTTGTGGCATTTCTGTCTGGCTCGCGAACAGTTGAGCCACTAATTTAACCCAGGACCCGAAAATGGCACGGTTTTGAAAAGAGTAAAAAGGGGGGGAAATACATGAAACGGCTTGGATATCAGATTATCATCAAGTAGCGGCCGATCCCCTGGTATTTTGTCGGAGATTTCGGGCATTAGATCTCTGCTTCAAAGTGGCTAATTATGGTAAATCCAGATTTCATGGTCGCAGCTGCAGAGTATTACCAATCACAACAGCGGCGGCGTTTTTGGGGTTTGGGAGGAGAGACCGAGGCTTATCAGTGCCAGGATCAATGTCGCGGAGATGCAGGGAAAAAACATCTGGTGATCGGCCGCATGGTTGTTGACGCAGACCACATCAGACGGGCGAAGAACAGGGACTCTGTGCGGTTGAGGTCGGTTATCTTACTGATCATAACTTGAATTTTTCACAGTATTGAAAGAGCTCTGTATGTTTTTTGTCACTCGACAGACGAGGTTTAGTGGAGGGAATTACAAATGACATCGAAAAAAAATTGTATCAAGATTTTGTTATTGATCTTAAAACAGATTTTGATAACATTGTAAACATTGGAAAGTATAACATCAGGGGACTAGCAACAAATCAGTTGAGTGCAATTTGCAAGCAACAGTGTCCTGGTTTTGATTTGGGTGTTTGGGTGTTCTCCCCGTGTGTGCGTGGGGTTTCCTCTGTGTGCTCCAGTTTCCTCTGTGTGCTCCAGTTTCCTCCGTGTGCTCCGGTTTCCTCCGTGTGCTGCGGTTTCCTCCGTGTGCTCCGGTTTCCTCCGTGTGCTCCGGTTTCCTCCATGTGCTCCAGTTTCCTTCGTGTTCTCCGGTTTCCTCCGTGTGCCCTGATTTCCAATTTCTTTTACAAAAGTCCCCCATAACACGCTCACTTAGACCCCCCCCCTCTCTCTGAAAAAGATTGTATTGATTATTTATATTGGTTGTCACATCAACAAACAAGTTCAAACAGTAGAATGAAATGCAGTGCAACCATCTTCGTGGGACTTTTCTGGTTAAAAAATTAACAAACAACAAATTATGTCATAGGGACATATCTTAATGTGTGGTACCGCAAGGGTCAATCCTGGGACTCACATTATTTATTACATAAATAAACAAAAACGTTTATTGGAAACCTCACATACGATAGCTGAGAACGAAAGTCGGAAGGACAAGAGCAAATCACAGTTATGACACAATGGACGCTCCAAGAAAAAGGTCCCAGTATTTCCCACAATGACACAAAGGTCAGGTTAATATCGGTGAAAAATCGTGTAATTTTTTTTTTCATTTTACATTTTTTCCCATAACCCTCGGACACATGTTTGCAGACCACAGAGGCGATACCCACAGGCAATATTCGATGCCCTAAAATTAAGCCCAACCTCTAATCTCAGATATGAGATCATCAAGCTCACATGCAGCTGGGAGCTCGACGTTTTGCCCATGTCGAATTTGGTGTTTTGCATTCCTAACCGATGTAGTAGATTTTGGATGAATCGTAATAACACAACTTAAATGATGTTCCTACAATTCTGCCAGTTTTGAGGGAGAAACAGCAATCCTTTTTTTACTCCTGGTTTTCCAAAGTCATCAGTGTCAATGCTGATGTGAATTGTGGGTGGCAGTAGCTCAGTTGGTAGAGCGTTGGCCTTTGAGCCAGAAGGTCGTGGGTTCAAGCCCCGCTCAAGACTTTCACCATCGACTCCCACTGACTACTGTCGTTGTGTCCTTGGCAAGACACTTAACCTCTGGGAACACCAGCCACAGTGGGGCGGCTGCGGCTGTAAAGTGCCAAACTGCCGTTGTGTCCTTAGGCAAGACACTTCACCCCCATTGCCTAGAATGTGTCTGGTGTGTGTGTGAATGGTTGGTGGTGGTCGGAGGGGCCGATGGCGCATACTGGTTGCCTCGCTTCTGTCAGTGTGCCCCAGGGCAGCTGTGGCTACATTAGTAGTTTATCACCACCGTGTATGGCGTGAATGAATAATGACACATGTGAAGCGTCTTTGAGTGTCCAAAAAAGCGCTATATAAAACCGATGCATTATTATTATTATTATAATGCCAAGAGATGAGCCATAAGTTATATCTCCTTTTCTATGATTGCATTGAGTGACACATTCTATTCTCCCCAAGACTAATTGGTATTTAGCTGCAATTTATTACATTCTCTGTGCGATGCCAAAACAGCGTTGTGGGCTCTTTGGCGGAGGACATATGAGCCTCGTCGTACTTTATATTTCCACCGTTATAGGCTGTTATTATTAGTCATTAGTAACTGAAAACCAACATTTGAGCTTGATTGAGCCTGCTTTTTCTGTTGCACGCTACAGCAAATATACAGAATGTGAAAGTATGATAGAAACTAAAGTGACTTGTTTATGTCCTGGCTTAAGTTATTACAAGAGATGGTGAAGGATCAGGTTTGAAAAGAAACAGCAAAATGGTTCCTGGAGTTTTGAATTAGTGAAATGAATGGCAGCTAAGTTAGACATAGAGACAGAAAGATTTGGAATAATGTTTTTTTTTTTTTTTTATCCTGCTAGAGACCAGAGAGAGACACCAGAGAGACAGACCAGAGCGAGAGTGAGACGAGTGAGAGAGACCAGAGAGGGTGACCAGAGAGATACTAGATATAGAGAGCAGAGAGAGACCAGAAAGAGAGATCAGAGTGAGAGAGATCAGAGAGAGAGACCAGAGAGAAAACACAGAGACAAGAGAGAGAGAGAGACCAGAGAGAGGACATAGAGAGACAAGAGAGAAAGACCAGAGAGAGACAAGAGAGAGAGACCATAGAGAGACAAGAGAGAAAGACCAGAGAGAGACAAGAGAGAGAGACCATAGAGAGACAAGAGAGAAAGACCAGAGAGAGGCAAGAGCGAGAGACCATAGAGAGACAAGAGAAAGAGACCAGAGAGAGACAAGAGAGAGACCAGAGAAAGACCTCAGAGAGAGACCTCAGAGAGACCAGAAAGAGAGACAAAATAGAGACCAGAAAGAGAGACAAAATAGAGACCAGAGAGAGACTTCAGAGAGACAAGAGAGAGACCAGAGACAGACCAGAGAGAGAGACAAGAGAGAGACCAGAGACAGACCAGAGAGAGACCGGATAGAGAGAGACCAGAGCAGATGGGTGGCATGGTCGCTGAGTGGAAAGCACTCTCGCTTCTCAGCAAGAAGGTTCTGAGTTCGAATCCCGGTCAGAACAGGGCCTCTCTGAGTGGAGTTTGCATGTTCTCCCTGTGTCTGTGAAGGTTTCCTCCATGTTCTCCGGTTTCCCCTAAAAACATGTGCAATAGTTCAGGGTGAATGAGTGTGTGTTAGAGAGTGCGAATGTGGGAGAACGGCTGCAAATTAGCCCATGTCTACAATCCGAAGTGATGTGTTCATTAACATGCACTGTCCCAACCAAATAAACAATTAATAACAGAGAGAGAGACCAGAGAGAGAGCCCAGCGAGCGTGACCAGAGAGAGAGACCAGAGAGAGACCAGAGAGAGAGATAGTTAGAGGGAGTGTTTGTTACGCATCTGTTTGTTCATTTCACATCTCCATAAATGAGAAATAAATATCTCTAAGTGAACCAGAACCCACCCTAAATGTTCATTTTGGTTTGTGTGTATAGTTTGGATCCATACACACCCAACTCACTCAAATCATCACACGAAACCTCTCAGTTTCCACTAACTTCAATTACTTTTCCTATTATTGATGGATTCTGCTTAATGGAGATTTTGACACGGCTTCTTTGAATGGGAGGAGATCAAATCAAAATCAAAATGGCAAATTAGGCAAAATGGAGCACACAGAGAGGGAATAGACAGAGCAGAGAGAAAAAGAGCAGAGAAAGACCAGAGGGAGAGAGAAGAGAGACACCAGAGAGAGAAAGACCAGAAAGAGAGAGCAGAGCGAGGCCAGAGGGAGAGAGAGCAGTGCGAGGCCAGAGGGAGAGACCTGAGAGAGAAACTAGAAAGAGACCAGAGAGAGAAACCATAGAAAGAGACTACAGAGACCATAGACAGACCAGAGAGAGACAAGAAAGAATAGAGAGAGCAGCTCGAGAGACCAGAACGAGACAGAGAGAGACCAGAAAGACCAGCAAGTGAGAGCAAAGAGAGATCGAAGAGAAAAAGCAGAGAGAGGAACCAGAGAGAGAGACTAGAGAAAAACAGAGAGACACCAGAGAGAGACAAGAAAAGCAAGAGAGAGACCAGAGAGAGCAGAGAGAGAGAGAGACAAGAGAAACCAGAGACTTTTCCTAGTATTGATGGATTTCTGCTTAATGGTGGTTTTGACACGGCTTCTTTGAATGGGAGGAGATCAAATCAAAATCCAAATGGCCAATTAGGCAAAATGGAGCACATAGAGAGAGACAAGAATGATTCGTTTTTGATATATCATTAGCGTATAATAAGGTTTTTTTTCTGTTATTGGAGTTGTGATACTATTGAAATACATATCTCTCTCTCTCTCTCTTTCGCTCTTGATCAAACAACCTAATATCACTCCTGCACCCCCTTCCGGTCCTGCCATCCTCCCCACATCGATGGCACATCTCTCAATTACTTTTAAATCAAACCTGCGTGGTGTCGCCCCTAACCACCTCTCATTATTGTCATCGCCGGGAACACAGCTTGGCAATTTACCTGCGCAGACACGGTAATGCCGGACGGAATGGCTTGCAACCGCGGCCGAAATGACATTTTTAATTCACGGGGGCCTCCTTCGTCGTGGAACCATGCTGTTCTGCTAGCCTCGGCCGCTTCCAAAACTCATTTCAATATTTCCCTCTCATCAAATAAGTATTAGAGGCTATATCTGGCAACGTGTGCGTGTGGCGTGTCGCGGACCCGTTCCTGCAGAAATGATTTGAAACTGGGAGATGCAAAGTTGTGCGACAATGTTGATTATTATGAGGTTAAGCAGGTGTGGTCAGCTCATTGGTCCAGCGGGAGGCCGTATAGCACTTGTTCATTAGAAAGCGCTAAGGCGGCGGCGTGAATGCTAATCTGACAAAACAACAACACGCGAAAATGAAGATTGAAGTTCCAGGAATGGGAATTGTGCAGCGGCGAGGAATTAGAAAAGGGATTACAGAGCATGATCGAAAGGCTGAAGAGCTTGTTAAGCCGCAATGTTGATTCTGTATTTATTGTATGTTAGGTGTAAGTTCAGTAAGTGACATTTATTTATAGGGCGCGCCGAGCGGAGAGTGTCTCGCAATTTAAAAAAGAGACGGATAAAAATAAGACGTTAAAAAACAAACAAAGACACCTTCATATAATACACAAAACACAAGTGGCGCCACCTGCGTGTGACCTCTGAAGCTAAGTGGGGCAGGGTCTATTGTAGCCTGGCCTTAGCCATCCGTACACTCCGCTCAATCATCATTTCACTGCATGTAACGTCTGGGTCTGGGCCTTGGGTTAGTGAATACAATCGGTTGAATTTCGACCGACCAACCAGCGAACGCGGGGCGACAGTAGCTCAGTTGGTAGAGCATTGGCCTTAAGCCCAGAAGGTTGTGGGTTCAATTCCCACCTCTGCACCTTCTCCACCGACTCCCACTGATGACTGCTGTCGTTGTGTCCTTGGGCAAGACACTTAACCCCACTTTGCCCCAAAGCCCCCACTGAAAGATCAAGGCTATGCTCACACTCAGAGAGCAGCCGTCCTCCTGTGGACTCACCACCTGCAGAGGGTCAGTGAGGGGCTGGTGCTATGAGACTTGGGTGGCATCTCTGACTGCCACCCCCCTGACCCAGAAATGGATTAAAGGGAAGAAAATGGATGGATGGATGGATGGAACCAGCGAACGCGGAAGGAGTGCCGTATTTCGTTGTGGGTG